TTTGGCGTAATGTTGAAAAAGTTCTACTAAAAGTAAATATGCGCGTCCAAATGCTTCAAGATCCATCTGCTGAAACATTCTCAAAACAATTGTTAGATATCGGTGATGGAAAGGTTACTAAGGATGAGACTGGATGCTTAAATTACCGGACGATTTCTGCACAATCATTGATTCACAAGATGCTCTCATTAGCCTAATATTTCCCGATGTACACACGCAATGCATTCATCATGAGTGGCTGGCAGAAAGGGTGATTTTAGCAGCAAAAAATGTGGACGTCAACGAATTGAATCTGTAGATGCAACAGTTATTGCCAGGTAACTTGGTGACATGCAAATCCGTTGATGCAGTTTGCGATCCTATTGAAGCTGCAAATTTTCCAACAGAGTTTTTAAACTCATTGGATTTACCAGGCATACCACCGCATAATTTAGTACTCAAATTTGGATCTCCGGTTATTTTGCTTCGTAATTTGAACCCACCTTGGCTGTGTAACGACACGCGATTAGTCATTAAAAAATTAATGAACAACGTCATCGAAGTCATTATTTTAAATGACAAATTCCGGGATGAAAGTATATTACTTCCATGAATCCCTTTTATGTGCCAATCCCTATTATGCCCCCACAGATGTGCCAACTCAATTTAAACGCATTCAGTTCCCCATTAGATTGGCATTCGCAATGATAAGGCCAAACAATGTCTGTTTGCGTCTTAGACTTGAACACACGTCTTAGACTTGCACTAAGAGATTAATATTGTTGACTAATATTTTCAGAATTCGTTGTATATATAATTTATAAGAAAAAGTTGCAATAAATTAAAAAAAAATATTATTTTGTGTGTTGTTACTTTCACATTCCGTCATCGTTCACAGCGCTCCATGCCTCTTCCACTCATATCCCACATACGCACACATTTACCATAAATAAGATATATTTTCATACTCTAGAAATAATTCATATGGCAAAACATCGTTTGCCGGGTCAGCTAGTATAGATATAATTATATTAGTATAATTTATATATATGTAACATAAAAAGCTTCTATTAATCTTTTTATGTTAGTTCTTCACTATAAAACTTAATCCTATTAATTATTCAAATCGAAATGATTTCTCACTCTTTTAAAAGCCACATCCTGTTCTCAAATCTATTTTTGGACCCAAGTATGCATAAATTTAAATAAAGACATTTTTCCCTTTAATCTTCGTGAGAATCACTCGACCTATTTCTTAATTCAATAGTAATATCTAAGATTTCCCTCTTTTCCCTAAATACAGACATTTTCGGATTTTTTGCAAGATTTTCCCTGCCAGAAAGACTGATCGCTCATGGACTAAATAACACTTTTCGCTCTCGACTCAACAAAGAATGACAAAATAAAAGTTACTCTGCTTTCATTAAAATCCTGTGTCTGTTTTCCTTCTTTGTCCAACCGCATCATTTTACATATATTAATATAATTTATATATATTAATGTAATTTAAATATATTAATATAATTTCATAGGTCACCTAAAATATGAAAAGGATTACGCATCCAAATTGTGTGTAAATAAAAATTTGAAAGTAAAACTTTGCTTTGTTAAAATTAGAGTAGTATTTTTTTCTACGAGTAAATATAATGGTATCTTTTTGAGCTCAAGTTATAATGCCTGTTTTTTCCCGGACAATAGAGTTTGCTATATTACGTGTTGACTGTAATCTCTACGATACCATGTTATATAGCAATATAAATGTCTTTATAATCAAATATGGCACGGAGTGAAAAATTATAAGAAAAGTTATAAAAAAATCAGTTATGGGTGAGAAGAAACTTAATTGATTTAAATTTCATAACAGACCAAAACTTTTGCATTTTGTTAGTTAGAAAAGTAACCATGTTATTTTCTGCCCAGTGAGAGATATGCCAAAAACAGTGAGAAATGGTTTTAGGTCATTACATTTTTATGCTATATAGAGGAATAAAGTTTCAAAGATATCATTACAATAGACATCAAAGATATTATAATAATAGACATCAAAGATATTATTACAATAGACATCAAAAATATCATTGCAATAATGATTCATGAAGTCAAACAATGTTGTGTAACATCAGTACTATGTAAAACGCACATTTATATTTTTACTATTTGGTTAAATTGTCTGTACATATCGAACATTTCAAGTTAGCATGCCAATACCACAGGCCAATACCACATAATCTAAAATGTTAATAAAATACCAATTACTAAAAATATAAATCGTTGAATCAATTTGCAAATACATTTTAAAGAGTTATTGCACTTTTAAAAAGTTACTATTAATGCCCTATGTGTATACATGATTTTTTCTATCATTGAAAGTTCAAAATTAGTAACTTCCTGTTGAGAAATAAACTTACAGAACTTACAGTTTCAAATCAAATAAACTTGCAGAACAGATGACAATTTTTGAGCTTCATAATATACATTAAACAATTCATTTATAATAGATTATATTTGTTATAGATGATAGAAAAATAATAGAGTTGACCAAATGATAGCAATTATCTCCCTTCTCTCCTGATCTTCAACAAATCTTAATACTAGTGTCGAACTGTTGAGAACATCCTATTATCAATCAGAAGTGTTGAGTTCAACACAGCAATTCCGCAGTAAAAAACTGGTTTTAAATAAATGTTCAACTTTTCTTTTGAATTTCGAGACACACGTACTACTGCCTTTTATTTTGCGCAAAGAGTATTATACTATGATCGAACATGGCAGCATCAATACAATTCGTCTCACCTGTATAAAAAATTATCGACTGTTATTGAACATGAATAAAAATGGGAAATTCTTGAGAAACACATTGCACAGTAAAGTCTTGCTCATTATCTTTCGCACTACATTTTTTTCCCAAAATTTTAACCGTATGGAATATTTGAACTTGTATCCATATATGGCAGTACTTTTACTTTCGTTACTTGTACCACCGGTACAAGTAAAAAGTACGTACTTTTACTTGTACTTCGTTACTTTTTAAATTTAGTACTTTTACTTGTACTTTCGTTACTTTTTTAGGGAAAAAGTACAAGTATTTGTAACGGAAATATCGAATGAAATCGTTACTTTTTTCTAAAACTCGGTAAGCTTTCTGAAAAAAAATAAATAAATAAATAAATAAAAAATTAAAAATTTTAAAGAACTATTTAGTAGCATTTTTATGTGTATTT